GCATGCAATATAGGGACCAATCATTTTCTTTCATTGTTTTGGCCTTCTTTAGCAAGCAGTAGTAAAGCCTTCGACCCCCTAAACCCTGACATCTTACTCTATATACTATCAACCCTCAACCTTGAACCTTACACCCTGAAGCCCTACACCCTAAAGCCTCAAACTCTAAAACCCTTCACCTAAGGCCGTCAACCTTAAACTCAATCCTCAAACCCTACACTCTACAGCCTTAAACACTAAACCCTAGCCCTAAACCCTAAACCCTAAACCCTAGACCCGCCAAACCGATCCCGGCACAGCTCAGCGAGCCGGTCATGATGAGTTGTCCTGCTCCAGGGCACCCAGGCCCACCTCAAACCATGATTGGGGTTTCCCCCAAAGAGTGGCAGGTTTAGGGTTTAGGGGTAAGGGGTAAGGGGTTAGGGGTTTAGGGTTTAGGGTTTAGGGTTTAGGGTTTAAGGTTTAGGGTTTAGGGCTTAGGGCTTTGCCCGCAACTTGGCTCGGCAACGTACAGGGTCTTAGCCGAGGCTGAGTGAGGGTAGAGTATCCTTTCCTGGCAGTTGTCCGCAGTCCAGTTGCAAAAGGAATTTAGGGTTTAGGGTTTAGGGTTTGGGGTTTAGGGTTTAGGGTGCTCTGTTTCTTGTTGCCGGGGGGGGGGGTTCTTTACTAAGGATGTTTTTTGGCGGGGGGGGGGGTTCTTTACTAAGGATGTTTTTTGGCGGATTGGGGGGGGGGCGGGGAATCATTGTGGGGTACTCTGTTGGGAAACGCCCGTGCGCAAAAGCATCATCGTTCCGTGTATGTTAGCCCCTAAACCCTAAACCCTAAACCCTAAACCCTAAACCAGTGAGGTCGCCCCCCAGCATTCCCCAGCCCAGCATTCTTTGTCCTAAAGCCTTGAACCCTACCTCTAGGCTTTGATACCCTGCCTTTCGGGTAGTTATAGGGGATACTTGTCCTATACTATATACCCAAACAAGGTACAACATAGGAGCCCTAAACCCTAAACCCTAAACGACTTTAGGTACTTCCTGTAGCAGCCTCGAAGTCGAAAGCGGAGCCTAACCTGGGACCTGGAGCGCTTTTTCAAGTCATGCACGGCCTTTGCACCAAACAGAGGCCAACACCAGACAAAGCTGGTGAAATTTGAGATAGCTCATGAGTGACGTGCCCCTGGCCTAAAACCTAAACCCTCAACCCTAAGCCCTAAACCTTCTCGGTAGGAATCTTGGGAGCTTGGCATTTTGAGTTTTGAGCCTTAGCTGCCCCCGTTCGCAAAACCCTCCCCAAGCTCTAAACTACCGTGTCCTTAAGAACCCTCAACCAAAATCTGAGTACTAATCCTTTCTTGCCCTTGTTATGAACAACATTTTTTATATTTAGAGGTTCTGAAGCAAGAAGTCGTAAACGCTCTAGACATGGAAGGCTGGGGGTATCTGCCAACACAGCAGCTCGAATTCGATCTACACTTGCTAGACAGGTTTCGCTCTTGGTTGGAAAGGCCACAATAACTTGTTCAGCCAGGTTCAGAGGGTTTAGGGTTTAGGGTTTAGGGTTTAGGGTTGAGAGTCTATGGTGCATGGGGCGTAGGAGTGGTACTGCTCTTGCACATGCCACACTCGTCGCAAGCCTCTGGCAATCGAAGGCATGTGAGATCACACCCATGTACGACTTAGATCCTTTCACGGATTCAGGGTTCAGAGAGTCTGAACATGTGATCCACACCCCTCAACGTGGGAACGTTTTGTATGTCCCTAAACCCTCAACCCTCAAACCCTAAACTCTGAACCAGAAAGTGGAGACCCCTTCGCATAAGCCACCTTGAAACTGCTATTTGCCTGAGAGCCCCCCAAGCAAATACAAGATACTGATCCCCACATTGCTCTGAAAAGGAAGGAGATGTTTTCGTATGTCGCCGACCCTAAACCCTAAACCCTAAACCCTAAACCCTAAACCCTAAACCCTAAACCCTTGGGTTCTTAAGCCAATAGTAGGAAAGTGCATGCCGGACCTGCCTGCTTCTATCTAGGGTTTAGGGTTTAGGGTTTAGGGTTTAGGGTTTAGGGTTTAGGGTTTAGGGTTTAGCAGCTGGTCATTGCCTACAGCCTGGCAGCAAGGAGTCCAGATGCAAAAATTGTTTAGGGTTTAGGGAATGCAAGACACCCCATGAATACACAACCTCAGACAGTATTCAGGCTCCGGACCCACAGAATCGATTCCATCCAAACATTTAAACAGGGTTTAGTTCAGGTATTTTGGGTTTAGGAGTCAAAAAAGGGTTTCGGGAAACCCTAAGCCTAACCCTAAACTTGAATCCTAAACTAAGTGTAGCAGAGTCTGGCCAACCAGAAAGCTGTGGCAGCCGATGTTTTCGCTGCCCAGCAGAGCTGTGACACCTGAAGCTGGACGCGCGCGTTCCTGTTGTTTAAGCGGCCAAACATGCAGCACGCGGGGGTGCGCAGTCACAAAGTCGAGTATCCATGGTGTCAACATCCCGCCCCCACCAACCCCCTTCCCCCCTCCCACCCCCTTCCGGAAGGCCTCTGAGGAAGACCCTGAACCCTAAACCCCACTGCAAGTGTACGTAAACCTTGCCCAGAGGAACCCTGCATAAACGCGTGCAGATACCCAATACTCAAGGTACCTTTCCGTTTAAAGTGCATTTCCCTGTTAGACGGTATCCAGGGCAGTTACTCTCGGTAACGAAACCGACGTCATAACCCTTGTCCTTTACCCTGAACTCTCCTCCGGGAGTTGTGCCCCCCACTGCTGCAAGCAGGCCAACTGCAGATCTGCACCAGGTGAACTTGTAGGTCTAACATTTTGGGTCTCAGCTGCTTGGGTTGTAGAGGACGCTTTAGAGTCCACGTGCGATGCAGAGGATGTTGGGTGAGTCTGAGGTATGGTATGAAGTACCTCTGCAGCGGTTGGGATCCACGTACATATTCTGCCGATGTGCCCCGGGGATCTGTCGATGGCGTCGGTAATGCAAGCAACTTCCTGACTGATGGTTGGACCTTGGCACATCCCCATTCTCACTTTCACTTGCCTGAGCACTGTGTAGGAACTACTACCAGGCTCAGAAACACGTGCTGCCCTGCGCACGAAACAAGCGCTGAACACAGGGTTGTTTTGTTGTTCTTGCGGGGGATGCTTGCTCTTGGGCCATGAGTTCGTACCTTGAGAGCCCGATACCCCTCAATTAAGGAATATGCCTTAGATTATAGGGGAACCCTGAATACTATTTAAGGTTTCTTGCTGCTAGTCTGTCATGCACCCACGGGCATCTGACAACGAAAGCTGTGACTGCGTCTTAGCAGAAGCGAGAGATAAACTCAGATAAACACAAAGTGAATTCAACCAGTCGCAGGGGAAAGCGCAAAACCGGGAAGGGTGCTCCAATCAGGGGTAAATGCGAGCAGCCCGATGTTCCCTACTTATTGAGAGTTGAAGTAAACGGGACCATACAACGTTTGGATGCTTAAACAACCGACGGCCTCCAAGGCCGCTCACTGTGCCGCCCGAAAAGCAACGAAGGTGAGTTGTTCGGACGTATCTACTATTTAAGGAATATGGCAGAATTGAGGGTTATTGGGCTCTTTGGGTAAGTAGCTCTTGGTCATGACTATGGAGGCAGGCTGGCCGATGCCATACGAAGCGCACTCCCACACTGAGAGGGTCCCTCCCTCCCTCCCTCCCCTCCCTCCCCTCCCTCCCCTCCCTCCCTCCCTCCCCTCCCTCCCCCCCCCCTCCCTCCCCCCTCCCTCCCCTCCCTCCCTCCCCTCCCTCCCCTTCCCCTCCCTCCCCCTCCCTCCCCTCCCTCTCCCTCCCCTCCCCTCCCCCCTCCCCCCCCCCTCCCTCCCCTCCCTCCCCTCCCTCCCCCTCCCCTCCCTCCCTCCCTCCCCCTCCCCTCCCTCCCCTCCCTCCCTCCCTCCCCTCCCCCCTCCCTCCTCCCTCCCTCCCCTCCCCCTCCCGCCCCTCCTTCCCCCTCCCTGCCTCCCTCCCTCCCTCCCCTTTCTCTCACTCTCTCGTTCTCTCGTTCTCTCTGTCTCTCTCGCTTTGTTTCTGCGGCTAGGCCAGCACAGGCGCTTGAGGTGGAGGAGTAGGTCAGATGTCACAATTTGTCCTTGAGAACTGGGCGGGCCTCCTGCTTTCAAGATTGAAGCCTTCCTCGGAAGCTGCAATCTTCCAAACACGCCTCGAGATTAAAATTAAGTTTCGGACCGTGTAGATTCTAGGCTTCTAGGTGCCAGCCAATCCTCCAAGTCGAATGTATCGATATACACCTATACACTAATTACATTACATAAGACACGTCGGCCACACATGCGCAGATGTTCCCGTGTTCCCTCGCAGGACCCCCTGCTGGGAGCAAGGAGCCGGCACGGGAAGAGTTGGCCGGCAATCTTTGGCTTTGCCTGGGGCTTTTGGCTTGGCATGGCATGTGGGGTTCCCAGTTGAACGATTGACGAAGTAGGTGCCTGAGATGATCAGTGATCACAAAGGCTTCCTAGGCCCCAATTGGAGAAAAAGGTTTTGGTCACCGAATTTCCTGTATGATGCTGTCCACAGAGGGAACTGTATACGATGGGATGTCCAGGTTGAAGAGTTGTGATACAGCAACTGGCGTGTAAACCAACGACAAGAGTGACGGAGAATTGGAGCACGCAAGGGACATGCGTAGCATTGAACATGAAGTCGCGTTACCGCCCCAACTTGCGGCCACATGGAGACGTCAGGGTGTGGTACAAGTTGCGAAATCATGTCTAACGTGGCAAGTCCCACAGGTTACCTGCTGATGGCATTCAAGTTCCAGTGTCATTGGCCCAAGCTGGAGAAAGTTCAGGTTGAAGCAGCATGTTTTCGAGCCATGAGTTAAAACACACCAGAGCACACCTATAACTAGTCGATCTCCGAAACGCTGGAGTCCATCGGATGAGTAGGTGACAGCTCGTTACTTGATTCTGAAACACCCTCGGAGAGTCCCCTTCTGAGCGATTATGGGGCTCAGCAAGATGAAAAGGCGGAAGCGCATTCCCCTTTCGCTCTTCATTGCAACCGTTTGCTGGGTTGCGCAGACAGGGCACGGAGGATTTGTCGTGCCCACGGCAAGAGGGAGTGGAATGAGGCCAGCAAGAGTTGCAGGCTCGCGACTGCAACTTGCGGGGGTGTCTGTGGAGAAGATGGAGCCGTGGTCCGCCCGATGGTACCCTTTTTTCCTACTTTGTTTGGCCCAAGGTTCCCAGTTATCCAACCCCAAAACAGGCTCCCTTATCTTATTACCCTAAACCCTAAACCCTAAACCCTAAACCCTAAACCCTAAACCCTAAACCCTAAACCCTAAACCCTAAACCCTAAACCCTAAACCCTAAACCCTAAACCCTAAACCCTAAACCCTAAACCCTAAACCCTAAACCCTACCCTAAACCCTAAACCCTAAACCCTGAACCCTAACCCTAAACCCTAATCCGGCTACTGGGCTACCAAGGAGAAGCACCCCAGGTTGCCGGTGTGGCCAGCATGGTTCGGTATCGTGTCTAGGAGGCCCAGTAGTAACCTCCTCCCCTTTTTTCTATTATTTCCCTAAGAAGTAAGACCCCCCGAAAAAGTAATAGAGAATCACCCTATACTGCCCTTATATAAGGAATAATAGTTGTTTTTTGATTTTTTTGTGGGGGGGGGGGGGGGGGTTCTGAATAGTTTAGCTCACAACCCCCTTTGAGCAAAAAGGGGGGGGGGGGGGGGGGGGTGTTGTTAAATCCTGTCTTACGGGGCCACCCCCTGAGGATCCATGTACCTATAGAGCATCTACTTGGGCCTTAGCAGGGGGTCCCTAAACACCTAAAAAGTCGCTGTAGGGCCCAAGTATATATACAATAGAGGTACATGGATCCTTCGGGACCGAGGTGTACATTTTGCTGGACCTACTGCTTGGCAAACCGGGCGTCGGGGCCTGGCTCGAGGATCGCTTCGGAGGCCGCGTTTGCCCGATGATCTTTCGCGATACCTCGGTGTCGGATCCATTCCTGCTAGTACCTTGGCCAAACGAAGTCTAGAGTTGGGGGTCACATACCCTATACTATAATACTGCAATCTCTAAGGTATCGGTATATGAACCCTATACCCTTTACCCTACACTACTGCAATCCCTATTAAGGTGTGGGTATATGAACCCACAAACGCTGTTAGGTTCATTTATTTGGGCTTCAAGGTAGCACATCACCGGCACTCCTTCAATGCCTTCGATCCTTTCCGCTACCTCTTCCGGTTCTTGTTGCCGGAAGGCTTCCCAGCCCACCCCCACCGTGGCTTTGAGACGGTCACCTATGTTCTCCGAGGTGGACTGGTGCATCGTGATTCCCTAGGAGTCAAGAACCTTGGCGACCAGATGAACCCTAGCAGGGCTGATGGTTCATATACCTCAATAGGAATTTGTATAATAGGGCATACGACCCCCCCAATTTTTAGGGTTCATTTGGCTCATATACTTCATAGGAATTATAGTATAGGGCGTATGACTCCCCCCCCCCCCCAAAAAAAAAATCAGGGTTCATGTGGTCACCAGGAAGTCGTACGGTGCTCCGAAAGACTCCAGCGGAAGCGGCGACGATGCGGCGGTGCAGTGGATGACGGCAGGGAGCGGCATGTTGCACGAGGATCCCAGGTAGGGTTTAGGGTTTAGGGTTTAGGGTTTAGGGTTTAGGGTTTAGGGTTTAGGGTTTGGGGTTAGGGTTTAGGGTTTAGGGTTTAGGGCCCCCTAGTCCTATTCCCTAGAGGAGATGTGGCGAACAGGGGACGCTTGGGAGAGCTCCGACCAGGAGCTGTTTCAAATTTGGGTGACATAGGGAAACTTGGAAATGATTTTGTCTTTTTGGCTACTATACTCCCTAATTAAGGAGCAGCTAAACTCATAGTTTTTGCTAGGATGCCAAGTTCAGTCAGTATAGGTGAACCTTCCCAAAGCGGACAAGTACACCAGCCCGCGGATGCAACTTAGGGCTTCTTGGGAATGTTTTTAATTTTGGGCACTGTAATTTCTAAGAAACAGCCCTAAACCCCAAACCCTAAACCTAAAGCCTAAACCCTTGCTAGGGTTCCAAGTTCAGTATAGGCAAATGCTCGGGCGTGACGGCAACTCCGCCGATGTCTCGGCTCCCAAGCTCGGAGTACCTTGGGGTCGAGATGAACCCTAAAAGGGTTTAAATGGTTCACATTTCCTGAGTAGGGATTATAGTGGTATACCAAAAGGGTTTCTGGTTCATACTACCTTCATAGGGATTATAGTAGTATAGGGTATGTGACCCCCAATTTCAGGATTTATAGTGGTATAGGGGAAAACGAGCCCCCCCCCCCCCCATTTTAGGGTTCATTTGGTCATCGAGGTGCTCACTGAAGTGCATGAGCGTGGTCCTGTGCCCTCCGCCGAGCCCAAACCTGGCGTGTCAGTGCCTTGGTAGCCGGTTTAGGGTTGAGGGTTTAGAGTTGAGGGTTTAGGGTTCAGGGTTTAGGGTTCCTGGTAGCCCAGTGGTACCCTCTACCCTTTCTTCTGCTTCAAGGTTCCCTCATATAAAGTCACCAACCCAAAAAAAAGGTGCCCCTATTAGAGTGTGGTTTCTGGGCTGCCAAGGTGCGCATCATCGCAGGGGAGGCCGACGGCGTGCGCAGTCCCATCGAGACATTCTCGGATCTGGCCATCCTTCACGTGACCCTGCAACCTGGAGCGGCCGCTTTGCTGGTCTATGATTCACTTCTCTACATTCCCAAAAGAGCCCAATATCCCTTAATCAAGGAATGTGCCTTAAACTATGGAGGGCACCTTAATATGATTTAAGGTAGATTCCTTAAGTGAGGGGTGTTGGGCTCTTTGGGTTATGGCCCCTTTGGGGTTACTCTTATCAGGCGGCCCCTAACATTTAGTGTTCCCAACAAGCTACCATCACTTTGAGAACTGACCATATGGACCTCAAAGCCCGACACCCCTTAATTCAAGAATAGGGCTTTTTTTAGGGGTCCTTACTCTGATTCAAGGGATGTTCCCTAATTAAGGGGTATTGGCATTGGCGTCTTTGGGGACAGTAAGATGCTGTACAGTAGTGGCGAGCAGATTGTGTGAATGGTCGTGCAGCACACCTTGCGGTCAACATGGTCACCTTGCCCAGAGAGCCTGAAACCGTCCGCAACCATTTTTATAATCATGTTTATGATATACATATATATATATATATATTGTATATATATATATACATGGTACCCCCCAAAGATCCACTATACATGGTACCCCCCCCCCCCCCCCCACCGAAAGATCCACCTTTCTTTGCTGCACAAGATAAGATACTATACATAGAATAGATTATTCAAGTAACCCCGAACCTTTGCTTGATGTTTTTCAGAATTTTAAAGGGCAAACACACGACAAACAAATGAAATCATGTACTTGATCGAGGCCCCGCGATTTTAAGTGGCAGTAAGTTTAAGTTAAATGCAGCCAAGACCCAGGAACCAAGAACAAAGAACCAAGATGCTCAGGACACTTGATTCTTGGTTCTTGGTTCCTGGAGTCTCGTTGCATTTAACTCAATTTTCTAAATTTCTAAATGCAGTTTTAAATGCAGCCAAGCCCCAGGAACCAAGAACCGAGAACCAAGATGCTCAGGACTCTTGAATCTCGGTTCTTGGTTCCTGGGGTCTGCCTGCATTTAACTTAAGTTTTCAAATGCAGTTTTAAATGCAGCCAATACCCAGGAACAAAGAACTAAGAATCAAGAGTCCTGAGTATCTTGGTTCTTGGTTCTTGGTTCCTGAGGTCTGCCCGCATTTTACTTAGATTTTTGAATGACAAGTTTAAATGCAGGAAAACCCTAAGCCCACCATCTTCAACACTCCGTACTCAAATCTGGGAGTCGCGGACTCATGTACTCTCCATACGCTGGCTCTTGGGATTCACTGGCTCATTTACACTGCACAAAGTCACTGACCCACCGGCGCATCAACCCACACTCTTTCGAACACTGACTCACTCACTCATTGCTTACAAGCATCAAGTTTGCTTATAAAATGGTGGTAGGGGAGGGAAGGGGGAGGGTACCATGGGTCTTCCACATAGCCAGGGCCCCCGGAACACCCCCGCCCTCCCCTTCCCTCCGCTCCACTGGGGGCCTATTCTCTACCATACTGGTTAAGGGCTTAGGGCTTTAAAAGAAGCCCCGAACCCTTTCGGGTTAAGCAATTAAACCCAAGCCCTTAACTTTTTAAAACCCTATATGGTTTAGGATTAAGGGTTTAGGGTTTTATGATGGAGGTATTTAAACATAAGTCGGCAACTAACCCGAAACCTTTAACCTTTGAACCGTTTAAAGGTTCAGGGTCTAAGATCTAGGCATTAAAACCTAAGTCCATAGAGCTCCAGCTTTAGGGGTTTAAGGCGTTTAGACCTTAACCCTCTCTAGGGTCTGAACCCTAAAGCCCTACAGGGCCGAAAAAGGCTCCAAGGTTTTAACCCTATCGGAGCTGAAGGTATACATGCCCATGCCTTAGGTTTGTAAAGCATGAAACCTTAGAGGGTTGAAAGGTTTAGGGCTTTTCAGGGTTTATCTCTAAAACCCTCACAGGGTTAGCCCTATGGGGAGTAATTGCTCATAGGCTTTACAGGTTTCGCGTTTAAGGTTTCGGCATAGTCTAGGACAACCTCATAACCCGGAAGGGCTTGAGGCCTAATTTGACTATAATTGCCATTGTTGAAGCCATACTAAGGATACCTACCCTAAACCCTAAACCCTAAACCCTAAACCCTAAACCCTAAACCCTAAACCCTAAATATATCCTTCCCGTGACTGAGGTGTGGACGTGGCCAAAGCCGGCGGGATGGAGCTGTTTGCTGTACGCACGCAAAGGAGCACCCCTGGGTTCTTAGTAGGGAATGGAATGAGGGCCCTATATACCCTTTAAGGGATTCTGTTGGGCACCTCATTCCCTCTTTCCCTACTAATGGAATGAGGGCCCTATATATATTTTAAGGGATTCTGTTTTGGCACCTCATTCCCTGATTCCCTACTAAGAACCCGCCAGGAGAAGCTACCCTTGGGGATGAGACTACTCTACAGGTCCATCACACAGCAACCTTGGCGCGCGCGGAGGCTTGTTCAGAAGTATGAGCTTATGAGCGTTTAGGGTTGAGGGTTCCTGCTTTCCAGAGTTTAAGGTTTAGGGTTTAGGGAGCGGTTCATCCATGGGTGGATATATGGGGCTGCAGGCAGGCTATGTGGTTCTGTTCACATCCTTCTTGCGTAGCTCTAGAAGTCAGGGGCTGTGGTTCGTGACTTGTAGGGTATAGCCCAGTGGTACCCTTTTCCCTTTTTTGGGTGGCTCAAGGTTCCCTTATCAAGTCACCAACCCAAAAAACAGGGTGCCCTTAGTATAAATCCCAAAGGATCCATGTACTTGTATAGTATATACTTGGGCCCTAAAGCTACTATATAGGAACCCTTTTTTAAGGCCCAAGTATATACTATACCCCTAAACCCTAAACCCTCAACCCTAAACCCCTTAAATTGGTACATGGATCCTTTGGGAAGAGGGCTCCTGGGCTCCCGGGCATGACCTTGAGGATTCGGAGGAGGAGCTCAAGCTCGCTGCAAGCTCCGAAGAGGTGGGATAAACCCCTAAGCTCTAAACCCTAAACCCTAAACCCTAGACCCTAAACCCTAAACCCTAAACCCTAAACCCTAAACCCTAAACCCTAAACCCCAACCCCTAAACCCCAACCCCTAAACCCTAAACCCCCGAAGAGGTGGAGATTCTGATCCTGGCTGGCGCTCCTCTCCGGGAGCCGGTAGCCATGGGCTCCAACATCATCATGATTCTTGGTTTAGGGTTTAGGGTTTAGGGTTTAGGGTTTCGGGTTTCGGGTTTAGGGTTTCATGATTCTTGGCCTCACTTTTCTGGCTGCTTCTTAGTAGGGAATGAGGGCCCTACATAATCCCCTTCCAGAGTGTAGGTAGGGCCCCAATTCCCTCATTCCCTACTAAGAATCAGGGGTTTTGGTGCGCATGTCCAGACACCCACCTTGACAACAGCTACAGGCTACAGGCTCGTGCCTTTTCTCTTGTGCTGAGTCGCACCCTCAATTTAGGGTTTAGGGTTTAGGGTTTAGGGTTTAGGGTTTAGGGTGCAGTTCAGGAACTCTGATGCGGAGCTGGCCCTTGCGAATCGTGACTTGAGCCGCGGCTACTTCGGACCGATCTGGGATCACACCGACGATGATGCCACGTGGCTGGCCACTGTCACGAGCCACTGGGGCCGAATGGCGGACGCCCTCAAGCGCTGAAATGCTGCCGCTTTTTAGGGGTTTAGGGTTTAGGGTTTAGGGTTGCAGACAGCTTGAGCTTCGTCCTAGTTTCCGAAAGCCCGTCCCAACAGAGGAACTCTTTCATCTGAAGCTCGCTTTGCTTGCTGCGGTTTCGGAAAGCATGAAAAAGAATGCCTTATTCAAGGGGTTTTGGGCTCTTGGGGAACGCCAGACCGCAACGGTGGAAGCCGCCCAAGTTTAGGATTTGGGATTTAGGGTTTAGGGTCCAGGGCAAGCCCTGAACCCTGGTTAAGGGTTTAGGGTTTAGGATTTAGGGTTGAGGGTTAGGGAAGGCAGTTTGCCATTCATAACATAGAGTGGGCTGAGGATTCAGGGTTCTGTCCAACATCAAGACTCCTGGCTGCAATGGCCCTCCACCGTAAACCCCAGAACTTCCCTAGAACTGGTACGACCCTAAGCCCGAAGCCCTAAACCCTAAGCCCTAAACCCTAAACCCTAAACCCTAAACCCTAAACCCTAAACCCCAACTCCGCAGCTGTTCTGGATAGCTTAGCTCTCGAAAGCCACGAAGTCGGTGGCTTTGCACACTCCGGAGACGATTCTGCGGGAGGGCCCAGCTCGGGGGGTTCAAAGCTTCTGGAGGGCTTTATGGTTTTTGGGAGGGTTTAGGGTTTAGGGTTTGGGGTTTAGGGTTTAGGGTTTAGGGTTTGAGCTCTCAGGGTTGGCTTTCAAGTCCGGTTTCAAAAGGGTTTTGGGCTCCTTGCCCTAAGGATCCATGTACCTCTATAGTTTATTTTAAGGGGCTGCGCCCATGGGCGGGCAGCGCAGGCAGAAGCGCGGGGCGAGCAGTTTCTAAGCATTTTGAGGCCCCTAAACTCCCTTAAAATCTCTAAGCGTTTGAGGCTCCTCAACCCCCTTAAAAATTCTAAGCATTTTCAGGCCCCTAAACTCCCTTCAAATCTCTAAGCGTTTGAGGCTCCTAGACTCCCTTAAAGTTTCTAAGCACTTTATAAGGCCCCTAAACTCCCTTTCTCCTAGCCCCGGGCTGAGACACGTCGCTTATGCCCGCCCTTAGGGGGGCATCATGCTCCTGATGCGCCCCCGAAATCCCGCCCCAGGAGCCGCTGATGCTCCTGATGCGCGCCTGGGGGTCCCGGGCTGGACCCGCTGATGCTCATGATGCGCGCCCTCTGGGGGCCTCCGTGGCGACGCAAAAAACCACGAAAAAAAAAACCGTTCACCGGCGGCACGCGGGGGTCGGCGGCACTGGCGTCCGGCCTAATTCTGCTTCGCAGAAGGCCAGAGGCCAGCAAGGCTATTCCCGGGACGACCCGGATTAAAAGGTCCGCATTTGCTCGGTCCTTGGGACCTCGCGCTGCCCGATTTAACGGCTACCGCCAGTGCCGCCGACCCCAGACAGGAGGGCGGCAGGCCGGCAAACCGCAGAGCCAGTTAAGGGCTGTAGCAAAAAATATTTAAAAAGAATGAGTTCTATGTATAATTAATATCTATACACATAGTCTTTTAAAGTATATAATGAGCTTTTGGTAAACATGAAGACCAAAAGATAAAGGAGATATCTTTTATTTATCTTTTATCCTTTATATCTGTATTTTCCCGAAATTCATGTCTTTGGGGCTAGGGGCAGGGCGCTAAGGGTGGTGGGGGCGTGAGGGTTGGGCATGCACTGCAAGTGTGAGGGGGGTGATGAAGCAGGCAGCAGGACTGTGGGGGGGGGGGGGGGGGGGGGGGGGGGGGGGGGGGGGGGGGGGGGGGGGGGGGGGTGGGGGGGGGTGGGGTGGGGGGGGGGGGGGGTGGGGGGGGGGGGGGGGGGGGCGGAGTGGGGGGTGGGGGGAGCGTTGGGAGCGGTGGGGGTTGGGGGGGGGTGTGGGGGCGGGCGGTGCGAGGCGTGGAGTGTTTTTCCGTTGGGCGGGTGGGGGGATTGAGGAGGGGGGGGGGCGGGGGGGGTTGGGAGGGGGTGGGGCGGGTGTGATGGGGGTGGTGGGGGTGGGGTGGGGGGGGGGGAGGGCGGTGAGAGCGGGGAGGGGGGTGTGTGCCCCAATCATTTTTTCATTGGCCAGCAGGGGCGGGGGAGTTGGGGTGGGGGTGGGGGTGGGAGCGGCAAGCGCGGTGGAAGGTCAAAAAAGCAGTGGGTCTTCACTGACGCCGCCTTCGGCTGGGGTCGGCGGATACTTGGGCCCTACTTGAAGGTTCATGGTACTTACTAGCCAATTATAACTGTACTTATAACCCTACTTATAATACCCCTAAAGGGCCTTATAGGGGTTATCCCAATTATAAGTAGGGTTATAAGCCCAGTTATAATTGGTTAGTAAGTACCATGAACCTTCAAGTAAAGCTGCGATATAGGAAGCCCTTCAAGGCCCAAGTACATACTACATAGGTACATGGCTCCTTAGGGTTCATTTCTCATGCCATATCCTCTTCAGCTGCCTTCAGAAAGCGCTTGAAGCGTGTTGCTCTGCGGCGGGGCGGGGGGAGGACCCCATCAACCGTACACCCTGCGCGAGTTGGTAGCCCAGTGGTACCCTTTACCCTGATAAAACAACCAACCCGAAAAAGGGTGCCCGTATCATAAAATGGTAACTGGGCTACCAAGACGATACCAACCTTAAGACGTGAAGTCCCAACTTTGCTGCTGTGGACCGCTTTCTTGGGTTGGGCTATGATGCGCTGGCCCGGCTGGCCCTCATGAAAAGGGAGACCTATGGGGGGGAGGGCCGCAAAGGCGCATGCTGGTAAGGTAGTCCAGTGTCCCCCCGCCCCCCCCCCATACCCCAACAACCTGACCCTCTGAGCCCTCACAGCCTTGCCCAAGACCCCTTAACTAGGCAATATTCCTTATATAAATGCTTCCAAGGATCTCTACATCAATTGAGGTATGTTCCTGAATCACGGGCTATTGGGCTGTCTGGGTGAAACCTAACACACAACGCCGGCGCAGACCCCAAACAGTTCAAGACACGGTGCCGGATTCCCACAACATCGACGCTGCTGACTCTACCTCCAGCAGCAGACCACCTAGGACCCAGAGTAGGCCCGTATTCTCTTTGTTTAGGGTTTAGGTTCCCTTATTATGCAAAATTTAAACCCCAAAGGGGTACCCTTTTTTTGTTCCTAGGTTACTCTTGGGTCTAGCCACTCGAAGATGACCTCCAATACCTTCAAGAGCACTCCAAGGACACTCCAAGGTCCCGACTGCGCCATGGGTTTTGGGTTTAGGGTTTAGGGTTTAGGGTTTAGGGTTTAGGGTTTAGGGTTTAGGTTCAGGGTTTAAGGTTTTGGGTTTAGGGTTTAGGGTTTAGGGTGTCGTCCCAGTGTTCCAGAGGCAGGAAAGTATAGAAAGCAACCACCTCGCGGCCACACGCGCGCATACTCCAAGGGCCCATGCGCCTGTGAAGTATATACTTGGGCCCTGGAGCTGCTATAAGACCCCTTTAAGGCACAAGCATATACCATACATGATATACATTTTGTTGGAGGGTTCTTTTTATGCAACCCTGTCTAGGGTTCTTGGGTAGCCTTCCCTCGGACCGTGCGAAGACCTCCTCACACCTCGTCTGTGCTAGGGGCTGAGGGTTCAGGGTTTCGGGTGTGTAACCCACGTCCTGAACCTGCTACCCATCCAGTCCCCCCATGTGAAGTCCATGTAACGACCTTTCACATCCCCCCCCCAAAAAATAAACCTCTGACACTCCTTCATAAACCCTTCAATTTGTAGCCCAGTGGTACCCTTTTGTGCCCATTTTATGGTTCAAGGTTCCCTGAAAAAAAAACAACCCCCAAAAGAGGGTACCCTTATTGTGATATGGTTACTGGGCTACTGATAAACTGGAATCCAAATCCTAAACCCTAAACTTGGGATGTGCCCCCTTATACTAACAGTCCTTAATAGGGACTATAATAGAGGGTACTACAATCTCTATGAAGGGCTGCTAGTATAAGGGGGAACATCCCAACCCCAAACTCTTGTGTAATCAAAACCCTAAACCCTTTGCCCTAAACTCCCTAAACCCCTAACCCTAAACCCTACACCCTAAACCCTGAACCGTAAAGCTCTTGTGTGAGCCGATCGATAGCCCAGGCCATGGTGAGTAGCCAAGGACAGGAGCTGGAGCCCGGAAGGCCCCCGGCGGTCCCAAGAATACGAGGTGACAAGGAAGTGGCTTCGGGTTTGGGGTTTAGGGTTTAGGGTTTGAGGGTTTGGGGTTTAGGGGTGTATATTCATTTTAGGGTTGGACAAGCAGGTTTCGGCGGGTTCGCTGGTGCCCGAAGCCCTGAAGCAAGATACCATTGGAGCTGCATCTCCCGCGGCTCCTCTGACTTGGAGGTTCATGGTACTTGTTGACCAGTTATAGCTGTACTTCTAACCCACTTATAAGCCACTTAAGTAGTTGTGACTTGGGTTCTAAGTACAGTTAGAATTGGTTAGTAAGTACCATGAACCTCCAAGTGATTTTGCACTTGGCATGTCCTATCACGGCGAAGCTAGCGTGGCATGAAAGTGGCATCAAGATATACTGCGTTCCTCGTGGAGCTCTGCCAGAGCTCCAAACCCTAAACCCTAAACCCTAAACCCTGGCGCATGTCCTTAGCCGGCCGGCCTGCCTTTGCAGAGCATCTGAAGCAGTCCTACTTGGGGGTTCATGGTACTTACTAACCAATTAGAACTGTACTGATAACCACCTTGTAAGCCCCGAAGTGCCCTAATGTGGTTATAAGTACAGTTCTATACGTACAGTTAAACCTGGCTAATAAGTACCATGAAGCTCCAAGTGTCCTTTTACCCAGTGAGAAGGTTTTGTCCTGCGACACGATTAGGCACATTAGTTTATGTAGCACCTTCTCCTCCACATCAGTCAGCGTCTTCTTCATTTAACATCTAGCACGGTTTAGGGTTTAGGGTTTAGGGTTTAGGGTTTAGGGTTTTCCACATCAACTTTGGACAAGTCCATTCCAACAACCAAGGGTGGGTGTGTGGGTGTTGGAGTTTGTGCGCTTGCACAGTGTTGCTGCGTGCACGATTTGCCCTCGGAGAGTGGCCCACGACCCTAAACCCTAAACCCTAAACCCTAAACCCTATAACCCTAAACCCTAAACCCTAAACCCAAAGCCCCATACAAACCCTAAACCCTAAACATCTGTGGCCCAGAACAGACGCAGTTGATTCTTGGTGTCTCTGGCTGCTGCAGGCAATCCAGAAGAAGCTCAGGCACCAAGGCGCAGACCGACCTAATGCAGTGGGCTCTTGGATTACAAAACGGTTACTCTCAAGGCTCCGAGGACTCTGATGTAAGGGTTTTTGGGCCCAAAAAGCCTTATATATATATATTTATATTTATATTTATTATTAAGGCTTTTGGGCTATTTTGACCCGAAACCCGAAACCCTAAACCCTAAACCCTAAACCCTAAACCCTAAACCCTGGTTACGATGGCGCCCAAGTGGCCGAGTGGAGAGGTACCATCCGATGGACTCTCGGATGGTTCGACAGACGACGCGCAGAGGCCCAGCCTTACCAGTGTCTTGGACCCAGAGTAGGCCCTGATCCCCCCTTTTAGGATTCAGGGTTTAGGGTTTAGGGTTTAGGGTTTAGGGCTACTAGGACCCAGAGTAGGTCCGCATTCCCTTTCTTTAAGGGTGGGTTCCCTTGTTAGCCCCTTTATAAACCGAAAACAGGGTACCCTTTTTTATGCCTAGGCAACTCCTGTGTCTAGGTGTGCATTGAACAGGTTCGAGCCATAGTAGGACGAGTAAAGAAGTCTGTTCGGGTGCTTTGCTTTGTAGGAAGTGAATGCATAGCACTTGATAAGGTCGGTGGCAACTTCCTTGAGTGGGAACGTGCAACCGAAACCCTAAACCCCAGACCCCACAGATTAACAAGGGAACCATGTTGGGATGTTCCCCCTCATACTAACAGTCCTTAATACGATATTTCGTTTCCCCCATTATAATCCCTATTAAGGACTGTTAGAAGAAGGAAGGGTATCACAAGAGCCCTGCTTCAACCCTAAACCCTAAACAACCCTGCGGTTTACGGTGTTGGGGTTTGGGGTTTGGGGTTTAGGGTTTAGTTTAGCCCTAAAACCCCAAATCCTGCACCTCGTCGCAAGCCCTGGCTAACCGCCTCGCATGGTTGGGACTCTTGGTTTGGGAGCATTCGCCCGTTGTCAGGCAAAGGAAAGGCAAGGCCCTATGATTGTACAAACTTTTTTTGGTGCTTCGGGCACTTGCTATGAGACGACATCCTTGCACGCAGCTTCGCTAAAACTGCAATGTGGCCCGAGCCCCCTGTTGGTTCGACGTGGAGGTTGTAAAGAAAGCTGCGTCGCACCAGGTTCCAACCGGAACATACAATGGTGTCGTCCGTGCTCTGCTTGCTGACGATCTTGCCCCTGAGCTCGGCAACCTTCCCTTCTTGCAATGGGACCGCCAGCCCTGACACACCTTCCACAGGAAACTCCACTCCTGACGTTCCTGTGGAGGTGAATGTTCAGGGGCAGAGTGGCAAGTTCACAATCGTTCCCAAGAATTCCTCCGGGAACTCGGTTGGCATCAGGGTGACCATGGACGCACTCCGGGAAGTGGATGCCGCTGGCAGCGCGGTGGGCCAGACGGGTAACGTGAAGCACTCTGTGAACACGTTTGCCGCGCAGGACTTCACGGTGGGCAGCGTGGAGCAAGTGACAGTTGGTTCTGTGAGTGCCGCGAAGATCTCGTTTGAGTCCACCATCTCTAGCATCGGCAAACTCGGCGTGGACACTTACCTCATGGCGGGCGATGGCGATGTTGGTATGAACAACGACTCGTGGTCCGTAGATATTGGGGACTTGAAGTGGAACATCCGTCTGTGGGACTGGACCTGGTGCGGAGACTCGGGCGCCACCTGCAAAAATGGCGAAGTGGGGGATGCCATCGAGCTGGACATCACCGTGCAGAACATGGGTGGTGGGTCGGCCAGCAAGAAGGCTGGTAGCAACAAGACGGTCTCGCTGGGTGGCTCGGCCGAGTTGCAACTATCAACAGCTGTACAAACAGACTGCGCCTGGGTGGAGATGGCCGATGGGTACCCGATGGTCACCACGCAGGGCAGCGGCACCACCATCACCTTCCGCTTTCCGCGCTTCAGCTCCTCCTCGCTGTATGACCCAGTGATCTCCGGCTCATGCGGCGAGCTGGGCCTCGACTGCGGGGGTGGCTCTATCAGCACCACCTCGGGAGGGAGCAACTCAGTGAGCTCCACAACTGCGGGTGCAGGAGTGACTTTGGCAACAGCCCTGGCCATCACTGTTTCTGCATACATCGCCTGAGGTTGGTCTAGTCAAGCTGATTCCGTATAGCCGGGCAAGGCTGAAGCGCGTCCAGCAGAGATGTCGAAGCAGCCATGCCCCCTTAATTTGGCACTACAGCTTTCATGACATGTTCGATGAAACATTTTGGTCTTTTGAAGCTTTGAATTTCAAGCACCTCCAACAAGACCTGTGACGCTGACACAGCGGAGAGGTTGCAAGCTCACGCGCAAAATCGACCCTTTTCCATGTTTTGGGGGTTCTGGGTACCCTTCTGATAAAATGTTAAATAAACCATAAACCCTCAATTTTGAAATGGCTATTGGGCGACCAAAGACAAGATTATTCCTTGGAGCCATAGTTGCTGTGCGCATTTTGCTGCAACCCTTGTATCAGATCCGTAGGGATCCATGTACCTGTGTAGTATAGACTTGGGCCTTAAAGGGTTCCTTAAGGGGCCAAGTATATACTACATAGGTACATGCATCGTGAGGGTTACAGCCCCCAGAACCCCAAACCCTAAACCCATCTGCACCCCTTTTATCAGCTGTAAGTTGGGATGTTCCCCCTTATGCTGACAGTCCTTGAGAGGGATTTTGATAGGGGGTGCTATAATCCCTATTAAGGAGCTGTTAGTTTCAGGGGGAAGCTATATACCCCAAACCCTAAACCAGTAAGGAAGGACTTCGCGTTTATTTTTAAGGGTTTAGGGTTTAGGGTTTAGGATTTAGGGTTTAGGGTTTAGGGTTTAGGCTTGGCCAGGCCACGCGTGGAAAGCAAATCCTCCGAAATCAGCAAGTATGGGCTCGAGGCCGCAGACTTGGCTTTGAGGGTTTAGGGTTTAGGGTTCAGGGTTAAGGGCTTAGGGTTTAGGGTTTAGGGTTTAGGGTTTAGGGTACCAGGATGTGCTGTTGGTGTTGGTTTTTGCGGCTTCAGGCGTTCAGGATCCTTATGCCGTCGGTCTCTGCGCCAGTCATTCGACATCCTAAACCCAGTTTCCCAGGGAGCCCAAGACCCAAAGAGCCCATTAGGGTTTAGGGTTTGGGGTTTAGGGTTTAGGGTTTAGGGTTTAGGGTTTAGGGTTTAGGGCATACTTGGGATGTTCCCCCTTATACTGACAGTCCTGAATAGGGATGATAGTGCCCCTTTTTATAATCCCTATTCGGGACTGTTAGTATTTAAGAGCCTCCGGCTCAAGCCGCCGACCCCGCTGGAGCATAGTTGAGAGGTCTAGCATGGTTCGAAGATCATCCCAGCCTGCTCGGCAGAGTTCTGTGAAACGTTTGGGGGGGGGGGGGGGGGGAGGGGGGGGGGGAGGGGCGGGGAGGGGGGGGGGCGGGGGTGTGGGGGGGGGGGGGGGGGGGGTGGGGGGTGGGGGGGGTGGGGGGTGGGGGGGGGTGGGGGGTGGGGGGCCTACCCCCCTGTGCTGAACCGCCTGTTTACGCTGTGCGGGTGGCGCGGTCCTCCACGAAAAATTGTGCACCGACCCCCCTACCCCCCCCCCCCCCCGCGTTTTCGGGGGGTAAGGAGGGAAAGAGGGAGGTTTTCACCTCCTCAAACCCATCCAACACGCCGCCAGGGTCGGCGGATAAGGGGGAACATCCCAGCCAACACCCCTTAATTAAGGAATATGCCCTTACATTCTGAAGGGACCCGAAATATGATTTGAGGTCGATTGCTTTATTAAGGGGTATTGGGCTCTTACCTGCCCGCACCCTTGAACAACCTTTATTTGCAGCCTTAGACCATGAACGCCCGAAGCCGAAACTCCCGGTGACCAGCTGTTCCCCACGTGCTGCGGGCGCTACACTAGCACGGCATCACAGACCAGTAGACCCGACTGAACTCCCCAAAATTGCATTGTGCACTGTGTCATAGCGCCAGTCTTATGTCCGGAATTGCCATTGCAGGCTTCGTGCAAATTCAGCCATCTATGGAAACTTGCTGCTGTAAGTCTCGGAATCATCTGGCTTTACACAATCCTCAGGACAACCCAGAGAGCCCAAGACCCCTTAAAAGAGGAATATTCCTTAAAGCATATTGAGGAGCCCGAAATGATTTAAGGTACATTCCTTAATTAACGGTATTGGGTTGCTTGGACAATCCTCCGATATCACACACCAAAACCCTAGAAATCTGCAACCAGCCTTGGCTAAGAACAAGCTCACCGCTTGTCCCCAAAGAGAGCCCAATACCCCTTCGTTAGGGATGTCCGCCGGTCATACTCGGTCATACAGTTCCGTGTTTTTTTCGCAGTCGCTGTTTCCCGTCACAGTGCGATTTTGCCATTGTACATTAAGGTCTTCCCGTAAACCCTGAAGTCCTTAACTGAGGGTCTTGGGCTCTTGGGGTCTCACACTAAATTTAAGAGCCTCCGGCTCAAGCCGCCGACCCCGCTGGAGCATAGTTGAGAGGTCTAAACCCGCTCGCATGGTTCGAAGATCATCCCAGCCTGCTCGGCAGAGTTCTGTGAAACGTTTGGGGGGAGGGGGGGGGGGGGGGAGGGGGGGGGGAGGGGGGGGGGAGGGTGGGGGGGGGGGGGGGGGGGGGGGGTGGGGGGGGGTGGGGGGGGGGTGGGGGGGGGGGTGGGGGGGGGGGTTGGGGGGGGGGAGGGGGGGGTGGGGGGGGAGGGGGTGTGGGGGAAAACACACTGATCATTTGGGGGGGTAAGGAGGGAAAGAGCAAATTTTAACCCTAAACCCTAAACCCTAAATTGTTTTCGGTTGAGGCATTCGCTGGCACGAAGGCGAAGCGCGAGGTGCAAAAAATTGGGGGGGGGGGGGGGGGGTGGCTTGTGGTTGATGGGTGCACCTGAGAGAGCACCGGGCTCAAAAGGGTGAGGGTTTAGGGTTTAGGGTTTAAGGTTTAGGGTTTAGGGTTTAGGATTTAGGGTTTAGGGCGATCTTTGGCTTGAGGTTGGGAGGGCTGAGCCCGGGGAGTTGCCGAGGAGCCTCGTACCAGAGGACCCTCTAGACTACTGTTTGCTGAAGAACGCCCGGCTTTAAGGTTGAGGGTTTAGGGCTTAGGGTTTAGGATCCCTGTATTGCCCGTATTTTCTTTTTAAGTGTGTTGGGGGTTCTTAAGCGAACAGTAGTAGAACAGCAGAGTATCACAGATGTCCGAAACCCTAAATATCTGCAATGTATGGAGCTGTACTCTATAAGGATCCATGTACCTATCTGGTATACAGTTGGTCCTTAAGGGGCTTCCTACATGGTAGCTTCAGGGGCCATGTATATACTGCATAGGTACAAGGGTCCTTCGGGCTTGTGACAAGGGGCCCACAACGACTGAGGATGCCCAGTTGTGCCATGTGTTTAGATTTCAGGTTTAGGTTTTTAGGGTTTGGGATTCAGGGCTTGGGGTTCAGGGTTTAGGGAGGGCTTTGTGAGTTTGAAAAAAATTCTTGTTCCCACCCACCCAGACTTCAGTGCTTTTTGCGGCTGTTGCTCCAGAGCACAGGCATTTTGATTTCTACTCGCCCTAAATCTTGAAGAGATTTTTCTGTGGGGCCCCTAAGGGCTCAGCCTCTAAGTAGCTCCAAGTATGGAGAATGGGGTCTTGAAAACCAAAGGTAAGTAAACGAAAGTTGTCGTCCCCTACGTGCGCACCCGGCCAGAACTGGTGCGATGTCCGCGATGACGACGACAGCGACGATCAAGAACTATGGTTGTCTGCTTCGCTCTTCCCTTAGATGGAGAGGGTGTGCATGTATCAACCTCAGGGACCCAAGAACCCAAAAATAGGGGTCATGTACCCTATCCTATCAAGGTATATGAATCAGAAACCCTTTTGGGGGATTCATGTGGTCCCCAGAAAACTCAGCTGGTGCACAACTCTCGCAGCGGTGCGCCAGCAATTCAGTAGCCGTTCGTCCTTCACCTTTGCAAACGCACATGCAGGTTCTCACCGCCACATCCTTGGCGGTCCCACTAGATTCTTTTCCCGAAGCCCTAAACCCTATAAACCCTAAACCCTAGACCCTGCGTCTTAAACTCGGCACTGCCCAAGGCCCTTCGCCAAAGTCGATTCGGTTGACTCTCAGCCGGCGTCACCAGCCTCCCCGGCAACACCCAGTGGCCGTCTCTTGGCCAAAAAAGGGCCTCAGAGAGCCCCAACTACCCCTCGAAAAAGGAGTAATATACTTTAAGTATGTACCTTAGAGCGTTTTAGGGCTTAGGAGAAGAAACCTTAAATCATTTTGGATCCTATATTACTATATTGGGGCCGAGCAAAGTGCGCGGTCCAGAGCTTTGGCTCTATAGGATCTCAAGGCGTCGCGCATGCAATGCCCAGAGAGCCCAACACCCCTTGAGTCTGGGGTGTAGGGTTCAGGGTTTAGGGTTTAGGGTTTGGGGTTTAGGGTTTAGGGTTTAGGGCCGGGTTTAGGAACCTTGAAATTATAAAGGGATCCTCACTATGATTTATGGAAGAGTCCGTAATTTGTGGGTATTGGGCTCTTTGGGGTGAATGGCCTGCTCCTGTAGTTTTGACAGCTTCAGGGCGCACATATAGACCCTAAACCCTAAACCCTAAACCCTAAACCTTAAACCTTAAACCCTAGACCCTAAGCTCTGCATAAGCTGCAGGGGACTCTACCTGGTTTAGGGTTTAGGGTTTAGGGTTTTTTCATCCTTTAGGTCGAGATTGTCATAGGCCGAATAGGAGAGTGCGGCACCCTAACCCAGAGAGCCCTAAACCCTAAACCCTAAACCCTAAACCCGCAGAGTTGACTAAGGAATAGACCTTAACAATTACTTAGGGCCCCTCTAGAATTTAAGGGCAAATTCCTTAATTAAAGGGAGACTTGGGCTCTTTGTGAAGTGCGGTTACCCCGAAGAGTTCCCAAGACGCCTTAGCTCAGGAATATGCATGAACAGAAAGTATACGAGTTAAGGATCCCGTTTAGGGTTTAGGGTGTAGGGTTTTTTTTAGGGTTCAGGGTTCAGGGTGAACCAAACAGGGACTCTCATTTAAGTTACGAGTTCAAGCAGGCTCCAAGAGAACAGTGCGGCGTCGGC